GCCTGCAGTAGGAACCGCTGCCGTGCCATGGCAGGAGCAGGCCGGTTCTCGTGCCAAAACAAGGGCTAAACCACCCTCTGGCGTCTAGCATCTCTGCAGTCGCAGGTGGCGTTAGCAGCTTTATCAGGGTGTTCTGGTTTGAGTTGTTGGTTTTTTTTTTTTGGTTTTTTTTTTTTTTTTGGTGTGTGTGTGTTTTGGTGGGATCGCTAATTGTGGCAGAAATGCTGTAGGTAGCTGACTGTGCAGTGGAAAGCTGCGTGTTTCCCTTGGCAGGGGCATGTTGTCGCTGCTGCTTTGCAGTGTCTCCCTAGTTTGAAGGTGCTGGAATATTCTCTGGAGGTTTCACTTACACATTTCACATACATGCTGAAACTGTTCTGCATGTGACTTACAGCAGTGTGTGTTCCTGTCCATAATTGCCCCTTCTAGCGTGGTCAGTAGGGTCCTAGTTAAGCCAGTGTCTGCTGACCACAGCTGGAGGCTGTTGTAGTTTATTTAAGGACTTTTCTGGGTCATGTACTAGGAGTCAGTGAAAGGAATTAGCATTGTTTCCACCTCACTATCGGTGTAAAGCCATAAGCCTAAGTCAGTGTGCACTGTTGTTAGTCAAGTGAGAAACTGCATCTTTCTCAACTAGTGAAAACGTGTGTGAGCTGCTGTATTGGGAAGTTAGAACTTAAAAACATGTAGTTTGAATGGCACAGCAGGAACTGTGTCGTGATGCCAGTTAAAATAAGAATGTGCTGGTGTTGCAGAGCCTGTGAGTCGGCTAAAGGTGAGACTTTGTAGTACTGCACCCCATTGTAGTTTTTAGATGACAGGTGTCAGAAAACCTCTGACAAGGAGGGCAGGCTAGTCTCTCTGCTTGGATGAGGTCCTAATCAGAGTGACATTGCTGGTGTTTCTAGAAGTCTGTGTGCTTTATCTTGTAATTTGAACTGCTCTGTGCAGTTGCAGTGTAGGCAGCTGTAAAGCTGGAACAGACCAAAGTGTCATCATCTGGTAGCAGCATATAAGAGCTATGTTGAACCTTTATTCAGTGAGAAGCTCCTGTGCTTTTTTTGATCATGATCTGCTTTCCCTTCTACACTCACATTGTGAGGACCTTACTGCTGCTTTTAATGAGAGAGAGAGGGGGGAGTTACAATCTTCGCAGCAAAGGGACAAGAGGCAACAGACACAAACTGTAGTAAGGGGAATTCTAACTAGAATAAGAAAGACATTTTCACCATGAAAGTATTCAAACACTGGATTAGGGGCCTGAAGAAGCTGTGGGATCTCTGTCCCTGGAGATGCTACAAACTGGATTGGACATGACACTGTGCAACCTGATCTAACTCCTTAGTTAGGAAGAGATTGGACAAATGCTGTTCGATGAGCCTTTTCAGTATAAGGTATATTCTATCATTGTCTTCAAGGTGAGAAAACAGCATTATTTGGAGTAGAGTTGATTGTCCCTAAGAGAAGACAGTACTTTAGATCAAACCTCTGTGGCTGATAGCAGACAAGATGTCAGGTTTCAATTTATTTACAGGTTAGCACGTAGATATTACAAGTAAACTTAAAAAGCTGTGATGATTGCATTTGAGGTATTGCATTGAACATTGCAGGCAAAAGGACACATACTGTTTTGCAAGACTGACATGTGTGGACAGGACTTTAACTGATGAGGTTTTTGGGTTTGGAGAAAGCCATAAACAATTAAAAATATAATAAGTGGGAGAGTAAGCTCTAAGTAATCTTTTAAGCTACATAATCACCTCTTAGTTTTGAAAAAATGTTTCTGTGCCATAACCCGTGTTCCATATTGTTCTCTAGCTGGTAGGTGGAGCCACTGGAGAAGTCCAGGCATAACAATCTGATAAATATTGTGGTGTTGAATGCTACTCCTAAATCCTGCTTGGTCTCACAAGTTGTGTGTCTTATACGTGCTGTGGGTGTTTGCTGCCTGACAGGTTCTGGGGTTCAGCTCTGGCAACTGGAATGAGAAAGAGCTTTTCTTGCTCTCCCACACTCTCACTCTCTCCAGTCCTTTCCCCCTAATTCACACCCCCAAACACATGTGCATGAAATCAGGGAAGTGCATGTCACTAATGCTATGTGCTTATACATTGCCGAAGATAAATCAGTTGCTTGCCATGTTATCCTCAAGAACACGCTGAGGAGCAAAATGTTGTAAGGCTGAATTAGTGGAACAGGCATGGATCTGTGGGAGCAAAGTCCTTGTAATGAGATCAACTTTTTTCTCATTAATAAGAGTTATCTTGAGCAATGTGGGTAGAGGCTGATTTCAAAACCAAAGGAAAAGGAGCATCCTTGCTCGGTCAGAATGTGAAGGAAAGCCAAGACAGGGAAATAAGTGAAACGAGTTCTGCTCTAGTATGTGTTTCAATGTCATGTAGCAAATGTAGAGTCCAACTGACCTGCTTCATAATTTGTGTTGTCATTGGGGTTCTGATAGTATTAGCAAAACTCATCTCCTGAATTTCAGTCACTTGTTGCTTGCAAAACAGAGCAAAAGTAAAAGAATGATAGTTATATGTCTATCTAGGCAATAGGAACTCTGCAGTCATACATGCTCTAAGTCACATTCTAATAAGAAAACCAAACCAACGTCAAGCTTAGATTCTTTCAGAGATATTGTTCTTAATCCCTTTCTGTCTACAAGCCTACGCTATAGTTGCAACATGTTTTGCTTCTTGGTCCTGACTAGCAGAATTTAGTCTTGACCACCACTTTATTCTAGATTAGGGTAACTTTTCCCTTCCAAGGTATTATGTGTGGAATTCGAGCACTGTAGCTAAATTAGCCAAGTGTTTAGGTTGTCTCATGTTTGTAAGGTGAAGGGAATAGCAAGTTTACCCCTAAATCGTAAAAAACTAAGAAAAAAATTATTGCTCCAGAGTTACAGAAAGCCTGAAATACCACCCCAGAGAGGTCTAGCCTGGAGACTTTCTCAGAGCTGGCATTGGAGAAGAGAGATTTCTCTGCATAGGTGCAGTAAAGCCAGAGCAGTTCCAACTTTTAGAGGACTTTTTGTGATCTTTTTCCATGTCCTTTTTGCTGCCTCTTTGTGTTGTGCTCTGGGTCTTAGTGCTTCACTCTAAATTTCCAGTTACAGTTAAAGGTCTCTCCAGGACAGGGGCTTGCTTATTGGAGACCATCTTCGTTCCGGGTTATTGTATGGTTGTGGTTAGTGGAAGTGTTCAGTTGGGTTTTTTAATAGCTCTGGATTTGAGATTGTGCTGTTTCCTGTTGCAGTTAGTGCTTGGGAGAAAGTTTTGTTTAGTTTTAACAATAAATTATGCTAATCAATTCAGCTTTCTGAAAATTGAAAATACAGTATAAATTGGTATTGGTAACAGTATAAATGTTCTGGGTCTGTGTAAGTTAAATAGATTTCAATGAGATAAAATCTTAGCCTGAGTTTAAGCATTGCAGTGTCTGTCTCAATTAGAGTTGTCAGTATTTCCAGTACACAGAAGAAAAGGACTGAAAAGATCAAGTAAAGGTTTTGCTATCTGAACCATTATGTTTTTAATAGGTGCTGCTGGGATGTAGGGGAAGTGGTATGTGAATAAAGTCATAGAATCATAGGACCACAGAATGTTAAGGCGTTGGAGTGGACCTTGAAGATCATCTGGTTCCAACTCCCCCTGCCCTGGGCAGAGACACCTTCCATTAGACCATGTTGCTCAGTGCTTTATCCAACCAGCCTTGAACCCTGCCAGGGTTGGGGCATCCACAACATAAATGCATTAGAGAGATTTATTTTAAGTTTTAACAGTATAGGCAGGTCTATCTTTTTGGAAGGTTTATTCATTTTATTTTTATTTAAACAGGAGATGATCGGCGGAAATGAATCCTGTACTGCAGGACCAATGCCTATGTCCTACTTAACTTGCCTGACTTACATGCTGGGAGAATGGACTGGTGTGGAGCACATTGAAGATTACCTGAGTTATGTAATCTACCTTTTATGGGTGCTTTTTCCACTTGCAGTAGTTTTCCTGCTTCCAGGAGTTATCGTCATCATGTTCTACATTTCCATTCTCTTAGTTCATATTTATAAAAGGAAAAATGAACTAAAGGAAGCTTATTCCCATGATGTTTGGTTTGGTGCAAAGGAAATGGTGGCTACCTTATGGGATGCACATGGAAGAATATGGCATGGTAAGCAAGATCCGATGTTGTGTTACAAACTGCTGAAGCTCTTACTCCTTGTTTACCTTTCAAGATTATCAATATAAACCTGATTGTTGCTGCTGTTGCATGCCAATTCAGGCCATTTTTTTTCCTATTCTATCGATGACTGCTAGTGGTGCTTGAGAGGAAAAAAAAAGGCATTGAGACTTTTTTGTGTGCAAAATTTTTGCCATGCTTTTATTCCTTTCCTGCTACAAAATGAGATCTTTCTTCTGGTTGAATAGGCAAATTTTTTTAATTATTGTTTTCTTTTGTTATTGTTGTTTGTACTTATTATAACTGCTCCTGGATTTCCTCTTTTGAGGAAGACCTGAAAGGTCTGTTCTGTTGAAAATTAGATCAACTGACTGTATTGTTTCATAGTCAATATATGAAGACTGGAAGTTAAATGCGAGTTGCCTGGTAGCTAGTATGTCAGCACATGTTAGCATAATTTAATGGCATTTATCCAGTCTTTTACATAAAATGCCAAGTGATGGCTAAAAAGAGCATTTAGTGTCAATTCACTCACTAGTTGCTTCTTGAAATTGACTTTAGAGCATAAAACTGTTATAGAGCCCTACTTTTTATTTTCTGTCTATGTGTTTTGGACAACTACTTTCTTCACTAGAATGTCAAAACTAAGGGATCTGTTCCTTGTCCTTTTACTATTATTTCTTTATAAAGACAGACTTAATAAATGATTTGGCTTTTCTTTCTAGGGAAATCATAAGCGCCTTTCAGAGCTATTCAGTCTAGATGCAGCTAAAGGAGAAGGAGATGCTTAAGAGCAATTTACATAAAGAACAAATCCTTCTTGAAAATCATCTCTATTTGTTCTGTAGTCAAAGGGAAGCAGGTTTTCAAGGCATTGATAACCAGATGGTGCAGCAGCTGTATCAGATAGGCTTTGTAAGACTAAGATGTAACTTTCAAATCTAGGAAAGTACTCTAGACCAAAATCAACAGCTACATCAAAGAGCTTAAAATGCTCACTTCACAATAAAAAGCTATTTACTTTTTTTTCATAAGAAAATGATTTTTTTTAAAGACCTTGGCTCTTTTCATCCTTAGTAACTTTTTCTTTTTATAAGGTCTGACTTTTCATTTGCTCAGAAAAGATTCTTACCCAATCCCTCATTGACAGCTGTGACTTTTTCCTACCCTGCCAGCTGCTTCCCTGTTGTCTATACACTTCTCTTCCTAAAGAATGAAATGTTTTGCAATCATTTTTTTCCCTGCTTGATTAATCAATATATCATAAGAAGAACTTTTCATCCTGAAGTCTGTGTTAAAAAATCCAAACAAATGGAAAAAATCAACCCTACAACCGAAAAGCCCAAAACCAAAGCCCAAAACCAAACCCCAAAACTGCTGTGTGATCCTGTAACTTTGTTTATTGAAGAGCCAAGATTACCTTCGGAGTTCAGTCAATGGAATGGGAAGTGGAGACCTGATTACACTTGGAAGAAGTGACAGGGATTGGTTGGGGTTTATTTTGGTTGATTTTGGGTTTGGTCTTCTGTTTAATTTCTGAAAAAAACCACAACCAGGGTACTGTACAATATGACTGGATAATAACAGAATATATTCTGTACTGATGTGTTTCAATATCTTGTGTTAAGAAAATATATTCTGCACTGTTAACTTAATTAGATAATTAATTCTTACTGAATTAGTTCAGTAAGAAACTTATATGTGTTTATGTATTTTTCAACTAAGCATGTAAAGCCCCAATTAACTTTTAGTACTTAGTGATGGAAAACTGCAGCAGGTATAACTCGGAGAGAAATAACAAAGATAAACTTCATACACTATAGTAAAAGGAGACATGTAAATGGGTGCTGTCACAAACAGTCACTGGTGGCAGTGAACTTCAGAAGGTTAATAATAGCTTGAACTAGTTGTTTCACCACTGCAATCCTTATTGTTATTTCTCATGAATGATTGATTCAGAGGACTTCGCAGCCTTCAAGACAGCGAGCTGAAAAATTAAGGAAAAATTATATAGTTCAAGACAGTGACACTGGGTGCTTTGTTTTTCTTTTTTCTTTTTTTTTTTTTTTTGATGTGTGGCTCTTGTGCCTTAAATGAAATTGTATTTTTTGTGAAGCAACTTGTGTTTCCTGTAAATGCTGCAGGTCGCCTCCTGACTTTTTAGCAGTCATGTCACTCTTACCACTTCTCAGGTTTTGGTTTCAGTTTGCCAGGTTGCTACAAGTTAGTTTTTTTGGGATAGAATTGTATCAAACTTTGACATCTGTTACACTTTTGACTCCTAACAGGTTATGAAGTTCATGGTGTTGAAAATATTCCTGAAGGACCAGGACTTATTGTGTTTTATCATGGAGCTACTCCTGTTGACTGTATCTATTTCATGGCTAGACTTTGTATAAGAAAGAAGACACTCTGCCACGCAGTAGCTGATCATTTTGTCTTTAAATTACCAGGTAACATACTTCACTATAAACAAGAAGCTCGGGAACTCTGTTTTTTGTGGTGAAATCAATGAAAATTGTGTCACAGGAACACAGCTTTCAGAACAGACATTCAGCCAAATGTAGTGAAAATGTTGAACTAAAGGTGTCTTTCACATGTTCTTTACAAATAAGAGTGTGTTTGAGACTGGCTCATGCAAGGATGGGTCATATTCCTCTCTGGGCAGCACCTCCCAATGACTCTAGGGTGTTGAGAAACAAAGAAAAGGAGATAATAGGAGAAACAGTTCTCTCTGTGTTAATCAGTAGCAAAGACTTCAGTAGATGTTTCTTTTTTATTAACATAGACAGAATGAGTGGTGTAACCTGATTAAGAATTAAACTGTTTGGAACCACTGCCCTTAAAGTTAATAATACTGGTCTGGGGATACAATGTATCTTCTTATTCCACCCAGTTGAGTATGGTGGGCGTGGAACCTGTCCCCAAGAAGGCTGTTTCAAACAATGTCTTTTGGAGGAAAGCAGTAGAAGTGTTCATGTTTGTTTGAAACATGAGGTGAAGCATGAAGAAAATGAAAACTATGTTCAGGGCAAGATTTTGGCTGGAGAGCCTGGTGAAATACAGTGCTGATCGCTGAAATTAATTACGTAAAGTGTTTGGGGTTTTTGCGTGTGTGAAGTACTGTAGGACCCAGTTCTTAAGTTTGGTTTGTGACTAAAAAGTGTCAATTCACAAAATGAATTACAGGGGGTGTTCTGTAGTATACTGATGCTTTTAGTGGAAACAACTCATATGAGTAAACTGTAGTTTTGTCAGCCTTAGACCCTGAAAGCAACTTTTCATACTGATCATGGCATGGCTTTCCTGCTTTGGCCTACAGATTTGGATTTGTCAGATGGTCATCAAATCATTTGCATACAGCTGACTAATATAACCTATTTCATAATGCAAATGTGGCTCCATATTATATCTGTTCATACTTATGCACAGTTTATCAAATGTGAGATTGTTGTTTTTCTCAATTTCTGCTTTAAAATAAGGTTCTAAGTGTGAGTATACTCGAGTCCCCCAAATATCACTTAGTATCATTGCAGAGATGTCTGGTCTCAAAGAACTGGGTTCGGCAGTACAGCATCTAGATAACTGCTGGTTTCTACAGGCATTCCTCAGGGACTGATACTGGGACCATTGGTGCTTAGTGTTGTTATTGTACCCCTGGGTGAAGGGTTGGAGCATGCTAACAGGAAATTCACTGATGATACCCAACTGGGGTAGCCATTGATATACTGGGGGTTGGAGCTTATATTCAGAGTGACTTCATAGAAGTGAACTGGCAAAAACATCATGAAGTTCAGCAAAAGCAAATGCAAAGTTGTGCATCTGAGGTGGAGCAGTTCTGTGCAACAGTGCCCCACGTAAAAGGTGGCTTTGGCAATTCTAGTGGACAACAAGTTGAATGTGAGCCAGCAGCGTGCCCTTGCAGCAAAGAAGATGAACTGCATGCTGAAGTTTTTGTAGCATAAGTGTAGCCACCAGGTTAAGTGAAGCTGTTTTTTCCCTTGGCTTAGCTGCTGTGCCAGCACACCTTGCAATATGATGTCCATTTTTGGACTTCCCAGTACAGACACTCTGGGGCATGTTCAGTGGATGATGGGGGACTGGAGCACACACTGTATGGGAAGAGGCTGAGAGAACTGGATTTGTTTGGTCTGTACCAGGTAAGGGTGGGGGAAGATGATATTGCTGTCTTCAGTGACGTAGCGGGAGGGTGCGGAGAACAGAGTCAGAGTCAGGTGCACAGCGATAGAATGAGAAGCAGTAGAGTCAAGTTACAACACAGGAAATTTTGATTAGATGTGTGGAAAGGTATTTTACCATAGAGTGATCAGACACCTGAACATATCGCTTTGATAAGCTGGGGAATCTCCATCCCTGGAGACTTTCAAAACTGTTGGGTGAGGCCCTGAGCAGCCTGATCTAGTTGGACCCGCTTTGAGTGGGAGTTTGGACGAGATGGCCTCCAGAGCTTCCTTCCAATCTACATAATTCTCTGGTTCTGTGAAGGAATTAGAGCTATTCAGGGAAGACAAGCCCAAATAGCCCAGATAATGTTCTGGATTGTTTTAAAATCTGCACAGTAATCTAACTGGCAACCCAGGTAGATGCTGCTTCTCTTGTGAATCAGACCAGAAAGACTGAGTAATTTTATCCCAGTACTAAGGCTGTCTGATCTTGATTAAGTATTCAGATTAAATTGGATGCCTTTTCAGAAGATGTTTTAATCAAAAATTATTATGCTCAATGCAGGGGAAATGGTGGGGGAAGGGGCAGGTTGGGGAGTCTGTAGGCTGTTAGACACACTTGGCTTAGATAATTAAATGATCCTGCCTGTTTTATGATTGTTGAATCTACTGTGAGTAGCTGTGAGGAGGGGTTTGTCCCATGACTTTGGACCTCAGGTCCATGCCAGTATGCAGTTGCCAGCACACAGTCTCATTGCATCCTATGAGTGCCTCATAAGGGGCACATGTATCTCCAGTGGGTCCAACATGCCTCTCCCTACTGTTTGGTCTTGAAAGATACAGCTCAATAACTTCTGGAAGGGAATCTAAACTAATAGGAGACCTCCTGTAGATATCTGGAGATTCCTACTGAACATTGCCTACTGTGTCTTTCTTTTGCATTGACATGAAACAAAATTATTTCATTGTCTCAGTTTATACTGTGTCAGTATTAAGTATGCTTCTGTTGCTTGCATTTTGGGGGAGAAGGATATGAAATATGGTTCTGTGGCTTTTTTCTTTTTTCTTTTAATAACTGAAGGTTAGCCACAGTGAAAACCCCCCAATATTCAAATGGTGTCTGGTTCTTTTAGATTCTTAACTGTGCTCAGGAAT